ACACTATAACACAATAGTTCTGAGTGACGTGAAATGACCGATTAATCTCAATGGGAGCTCTCCCTCAATTTCAATTGTGGAATAACATTGTTCAAGTAATCTCACTATGCATGTTGGTTTTACAGGAACTGGAATATTAAAATCTTCTTATTGGGTGGGGACAGTATCTGAGGAAAACTTGAACCAAATTGCTCCAAACTTGAACCATTGCCCTGTTGTGGCATACCAATACCCTAAATAATCTCATCATGCATGTGGATTTTAGAGTACTTTGAAATTTAAAAGCTCATAATGTGGGCGGGGGGAGAGGAGGACATATATTGGGACCCTCTTGATCAAATGACCTACATTTGCACCATAAATTCTACCACAGCCCCTTGAATAGCTTTTTAATTATTTCTTCCCAAAAAGTGAAGTGTGTGGTGAAAATTATCCATGATTGATCCTGAGAGAGAAATATCAGGATCAGAGCCATAGTTTGAGCCCCAAGTATGTATAAAAAAAAGAGTTATAAGAAGTGTAAAATGTGGATGTTATGTGATGTTTTTTAGTGGGACTGTATCTTACTCAAACAACCCCAAAAATCTTGACTACACCAACCCTGTGGCTATTTTCAAGACAAGGTTTTTTTTGAGGGCCTCTTTCCCCTCATCAACTTTCTCTTACCCTAACCTATTCTGTTGTGCTCCCACAGTAGAAAGGGACATATTTTCACACCCAGATCCAGTCTTTCAGCCCCACAAAGTCAGCGGTTACCCTGATTTGGAGGAATTAGGAATGTAAAGGATAATTTCATTTTTAAAGGTGATCTGTAAAGAGGCAATAACTGTGGCTGTGCCTTTGTTTGATTTTCTTCTGACGTGTAAGGAAGGCATGACAATTTGAGGGCCTCGGTGGGGTGTTTATTTTTTTGTGTGTTTGGTTGGTTGGTTTGGGTTTTTTGGGGAGGGAAGATACATTTATGTCGTCTCTTTTTATATTAAAAATCCAGGAAATGTCTAGCCTGGGGAACTCATGTTTTCGCTTTGTCTCGACTAGAGTTGGTGGTCCTGTTATAAATTGAGCTAACTGATTGCAAATGCAGTTTATGTTGATAACAGGCTCTCCACAAATGTTTGTTCTGGAGCACAAAGTTTTGATGTTTGCCGGAGGCTGAGCCCCCATGTCACGATATAAACTTTTGCTGAGTGTCTAGATTAGCATTTACGATCAATTACAACAGGAGGACAAATGCTAGTCTAGACAAAACCTATGATAACAGGAGAACGAGTGAAATGATGACATCACAAGAGTCAAGTGACTGAAAATTGAGCAATGGGGAGGGGAAGGGATTTTAAATCACACTTTGAAAAACTCTGTTTTGTCTGATTTTGGTAACACCTATTTAACTTCAGTGACAAATGAATATTTTGGATAAAGGATGCATGGATGCAATTACTAGGAGGGATGAGAGAGACAAATTTGGCCCCAGACTTTTACTATCCTGGGGGGGCCAGGATAGTCACCCCCCCATAGTGCCCAGGCAGACATCCCCCAGGCAGAGCAGAGAACTCTGCACTCGCAGAAAAGGGGAGTGGGGACGGCGCAATGGCAGTGATTCCACGTGCACACACACTCCCAACACACCACCTCTTACCTCAGTTTGGGGGGCCAATGCCCCCCTGCCACCATCCCAAACTGTGCCCATGGATGCCCCTCCCCCTCTCTTGATGCTGCAGAGGGCCCCACCCACCCCCAGCTGCAGCCAGGCTCCCTCCGCTTGGAATGTGACTCACCTGTTGCCTGTGGCTGGAGCTCGGATGGGAGCTGCAGCCACACAGGGAGCCTGCCCAGGAGATGCAGGTAACAGGCAGGGCAGCCCCAGGTGAGGAGGGTCTCATACTACTGACCATACAGGGCTTCTGCAGAGCAAGCCCTGCGCTCCCCACCCCTAACAGTGGCTGAAGCAGCTCCCTGAGGTTGCAGGAGGAGCAGCCCCACCCACACTGAGGGTTGAAGCAGAGGTGGGTCAGTCCTGCCACAGCAGTGGCTGCCAGCCCAAGGGCCACAAAACAGCTGATAGGTGGTGTGACCACCTAAAGCTCATTGGCAGGGGCGGGGCTGCTAAACAACTGTTCAGTAGAGCCCAACAAACAGTTGATAATCACAGCTGCCTAAAAGCTGATTGGTAGGGACAAGGCTGCCCTGTAACAGCTGATCTGTGGCAGGGGCTGAAGAACCACTAGGGCTGGTGGGTGCTGATCACCTACTATTTTTTTCTGTGAGTGCTCCAGCCCCAGAGCACCCATGGAGTCAACGCCTTTGGTCCTAGAGCCCGGGCTCCAGCCTGAGCCCTGAAGTTTACACAGCAATGAAACAGTCCTGCAGCCTGGGCCATGCAAGCCATAATTGGCTGGCATGGGCCAGCTGCAGGTTTTTCTTTGTTGAGTAGACTTAACCAAAGTCCTTCCAGCAGCCAGGACCTGGTACTTTACAAGGATCCTAAACATTTAGTAATTTATCCCCCTAATCCAGGGGTATCATAAAAAATTGACTGCAGTTCAAGAGGCCTCAGCAATACCTTATGCAATTGAGTTTGGAGACATGTCTGGACATTGGGAGACTGTCTTGCTCTCTCCAATGTTCCCATTATTGCTCAGACTGCTACCTGAACGGGAGATCTTTTTTGTTTTCCATATCACCCACTATGTTTTAAATCTTTGTTCAAAACTAACTAAATTGACCTGTGCAAATAATCTCTGCCATTTCAGAAGAAAAGTATTGAGCCCATAAAGGTAGCCACCTTGCATTCTGCAGATGCCTTTGGGACAGGAAAGAAAGAAACTGCAATTCAGGGTGGTGATGAAAACCCAGTGGAAATGGCCCTCCGTACATGGGAGTGTGGGTGTAAATCCCTTCCATAAGCAAGGTTGTGAAGCTCTTGCTTTTGTTGCTACATGGCTTAAGAGCTTCCAGAATCCTTCACACGTTGTGTCAAGGAACAAAAAGTAAACATGACTTTGAGTATACTAAGCTTCTGTTGCTTATAAAATGGAAATGCCTGACCTTATTATGATCTATCTTTGCAACCTGCTTAGTGTCCATCAAAAGCACAAAAAGTATTCTGACTACTAGAATAACACATTATAAAGCTGCAATGAAAACCAAAATAAAAGAATACATGGATAAGAACATTATAAAAGAGAACAATGTAATGAAAAGGAAATGAGAAAATATAACGTTTAATAATGACTGGCTGAAGATTGGTTTTGAAACCAGTTCAAAGTAGGACAAAACTGTTTTGATTCTTTGTAGTTGAAAATATGAAGAATAATGAAAATGTAACTGGGTACATTTGCTGTTGCTTGACTAATACTAAGCTATGCAATATTACAAATTGTAACATGGGATAAACTCTTGGCTACAAAGGCCCACTGAAACTGTCGCATTTCACAACAGACTGGCACCCCAGAATTGGTGAGTTAGCCTTGTCTGCTTGATCTTAAATATCTATTTTTTGATTAATAAACCAAACTTGAGCTTGACCAGTTCATGTCTCAATCCATAAATAATCAAAAAGAACCCATTATTTTACACTTTGAACTACATCCTAGTTGGCTTTCCTTATTTCAAATAAATTAAATGAATAAATACATTTGATTTTGCATCTGGTGTAACTTTATTTAGTGAACTTGTTGACCAATTGCTTTTATTTACATTTTTTATTGAGTGTAAATATTCACTTGCACATGCTTTTTTCTAGAGAATTATATATTTTCAGGAGAATATATATTATGAGAAGGAGAATAAAATGATTTGTGATAAGAAATAAATCTTCTCATAACATCTCCAAGCCTGCAGCGAACCTGACTAGGATCAAATCACAGTGTTAAGTGATGAATTGCATGTAAATGGAAGGTAAATATTCTGTACTTCCTGTACTTCCTGTGATACTGTACCAATTTTAAAAGATCGCCATTGTTGGGTTATGTCCATTTTGTATGTTTTGTATAATTTCAGAACCAATATGTGTTCCATCATAAACAGATAGTTAAGGGTTAATGCCTCTTTTTACCTGTAAGGGTTAAGAAGTTCACTTAGCCTAGCTGACACCTGACCAGAGGAACCAATGGGGGGAAAAGGTGGTTCAAAAGGAAGGAGGGAAGTTCCCTTTGTCTGGGTCAGTTTCAGTTTTGACCGGAGTGGGAAAGCTCCAGAAATCAGCCTCTTATCAAGTAGTGAGTATTAGTGAAGGGAATAAATAGGTTTATGTTTATTTTCTTTGTAACTTGTCTTGGGCATTAGGGAATAATCAAATTGGGTAATTTTTGTGTAACTAAGTTTTTGCCAGGGGAACATCCTCTGTGTTTTGAATCTGTTGTCTGTGAGATCCGCTGGTATGCTATCTCCCAGAGGGTTTTCTTCTACCTTTCTTTTCTTTAATTAAAAGTCTTCTTTTTAAGAACCTGATTGATTTTTCTTTGTGTTAAGATCCAAGGGGATTGGATCTGGACTCACCAGGAATTGGTGGGGGAAAGGAGGGGGATGGTTAAATTCTCCTTGTGTTAAGATCCAAGGGTTTGGATCGGTGTTCACCAGGAAATTGGTGAAGAAGTCTCTCAAGGCTACCCAGGGAAAGGAGTTAGAACTTTGGAGTGGTGGCAGCAAAAAACAGATCTAAACTGGTAATTCGGTTTAGGGGTTCACATGCAGGTCCCCATATCTGTACTCTAAAGTCCAGAGTGGGGCTGAAACCTATGATAGGTTCCCAAAATGGAGTTTGTGCCCATGTGACCCAGCTGATCACAGTTTTCTGCCTTTTATTTCTCCTCAGAAGTGGTAAACAACTTTTGGATAGAGCTGGTTTTTACTGCCTTTTCCATGGGGTTTCCCAGAAGGAGTTTTCTGCTCCTTCTATGGAGTTTCCCGGGCAAGCTTAGATAAGTCTGTCCCAAGCACTGCTTAGGGGCTGTCCATCCGAGTGACAGCAAGGGACTGTCGCGGGTCTGACTTTCACTTACCTAGTGGTAGAAGGAGCTAGGATTTACTTTTCACAGCTCTGCTTCCACTTGGACATGCATTTGCCATCACCTGCAAGGAGAAGAGAAAGACACAGCCACGTACCACTTACCATCATCCACCTTCAGCTGCTGTCCCCCAACGTACCATCTACTCTTCTTCAGACCCAGAGAAACATCAAGGGACTCCCTGGAGCTCCTCTCCGATGGCTTTCAACTAGCTGGAGGATTGAGGTCCTAGGCAACAATCAAAGCTTAATCTATAGAAGAAGGTTTCTATTGAGGGGTTTACTTACCTGTTTATAGGGTTTATTTTGGAGAATCACTGTACTGCATACTTTTACTGTTTACTCCCTCCTTTTCTTTGCCCTATTCATTGTACACCAATTCTTCAATACATTTTATTTGTTTTTCACCTTATCCCAACTGACTCCTTGTTATTTGAGGTGGGAGGGACCCTTTATGGGAAAATCAAACCTACCAGTTGACAGATTCTGGATAGGGAGGGTCGAATCTAAGGAAACAGGAAGCATAGGCCGACATATATTTCTTTGTCTTTCTGTCCTTTCCTCTAACACCATCAACAACTGTCTCAAATTCCAAGCTTTAAATTAAGCAGAAGGCTGAGTTCAGATAGCAGAGCATCAGGAAAAAAACAGAAGATTTCAGTCCAATGCCACATTGAAAGGCTGAGGCAGACAACATAGAAATCACACAAGACTTTGTGAAAATGTGCATAGAAGCCAATATTCTTCTCAAGATGGCTGACCATACCCTAATCCATGCCTTCCTAATCCACCACGTGAAAACCGGTGGTACTGTCCCTCAACCTATCTGATCTCTATAACAACCAAAAACTCCTTGTGGAACAAACCAATCCAGCAAAAAGAATGTCATCATTGTGGATGAGGCTTGCTGTGGAGCACAGTGCAATTTTAAACATTTTGTCTGCTCCCTTAGTGAAAGATGACAGTAGCTGAATCCGTGCTTATTTTCTTGATCAAAATTTTT